TCAATTAAAACAAATGTAGCAGTTTCATAATGGGAAAGGCTATGCATGTGCAGAGCATGGCACACATGGGAAATCTCTATACTTTCCACTCAATTTTGTTTTGTGCCTAAAACTGCTTTAAAAAATAATGTCTATTTAAGAGTTACATATATATATATATATATAAAATAAGTATTTACAGGCTACATGCATTGAAAAGGTCAAGAAACAATGGCTAACCAAGTAGCAATGAGCACCTCTAGTACCCTGACTGAATCCTCTAAAATCACGTCCCACTCAAAGGAACCAGGCTTCCTTAGAGAAATGGCTGATTCCAGGTCTGGGGTAGGAATTCTATCATGAATTATGGATCAAACTATCCTGCCAGAAAACATATTAAAAAGACTCAGAAGCCAATCTGAAGGAACTTCACCGGCCAAACACAAAACATTTTGAACATCAAAATGATTAATGACCACAATGGATTAAAACATCAAATATAAAGATCTTTGAGTTCATGATGACACTCTAACAAAAAGCAAAACAAAATAAAACAAACTCACTGTTCACCTTTGGAGGATTTTAGTAAAACAAATCATTATTTTGAAAAGTAGAAATACTGTGAAAGAATTACACATTCATCCTTCCCTTCCTATGCAAACCAAGTTTAGCACAACCTAAAAGTTGATGAGGTTAAGTTTCTTTAATAAAAGAATTTTAGCTAATGAATGCAGGCAAAATCAGAATTAGAATATCACTTTTTTGCAGCCTTTAATGAAATGTAGACCCAGGCAACAATCTTCAGAGATTGCATAAAACATGAGATGAAAAGCACATGGGAAATTTTATAATCAATGGATCAGGCTAACTCAGAACTCAGTGATGAATCTTAATGTCACAACAGGAGACAACTAGACAAAATGAGCTTCATGGTGTAATACTATAGAACTAAACAACACCACATCTAAGGTACTCGTGCCAAAAAACCTGAATCTAAATAAGCCTCTAAACCTAATTATCAATTTAAAGACAATAGAAGGGCCAGAGGAACATAATAAATTATATAATAAGGATATAATTAGCAAAACCCCAAATTTAAATTCCACAGGAAAAAAGATCTAGTTTTTTCAGCAAATAAATCAGATTAAAAGAAACTAAACTTTAGATTAAAAGAAACTAAACACTTCAGAGAGAGTTAAAGAAAATTTATAACAGAGAAATTGAAGTTAAAGCCACAGTGACATACCACTACATGCCCACCAGAACAACAAAAATGAAAAAGATGGAAAATACCAAGTGTTGTCAAGAATTTGGAAAAAGTAGAACTCACAACATACTGTTGGTAGGAACACAGATTGGAACAACCACTTGAAAAACTGCTTGGCAGTGTCTACTGATCTCAACATAAGCACACTCTATGACTTAGAAATGCCTTTCTTTAGTATATGTCCAAGAGAAATGAAAATATATATGTCTATCAAAAAATACATAAAAGAGCATTCATAGTACCATTACTCAAAATAAATCAAAAATGTAAAAATATGTAAATTCTCCAAACAGATAGATACATTATGAAATATCCACATAATGTACCTCTTACTATACCTCAATGAGAATGAACAATTTACAACTATGGACAATGATAATGTAAATACACATTATGTTGACTGAAAGATGCCAGTCACAAAAGAGTACACGCTGCATGCGAGATTCCAGGAATTTTTCTTCTAGTCTCCCAATAGAGATTAGGGAAGGAGAGGATAATCAATACCCTATTTCTTGTTATTTGAAGAGACTAAGTGTCCTTGTATATTACTTGCAGGTTAACTTAATTTTTTACTTTTTACTTTTATTTTTTTACTCACAGGTTAACTTTAAAGAAGCACGTATCCTTTGAGCCCTTAGAGTGATTCACTGCACATAGGAACAAGGACAGAGCTATGTCTGATGTACAGAAAACTGAGTACCAGACAGGAGACAAACTTGGCCCCATAGGCCAACCTAACCTACTAACTCTAGGTGACCTTGGGTAAGTCACCACACCTCCTCTAGCTTCACCTATCAAAAGGGGTCAAATCAGCCCTGCCCTCCATCCAACAAAGCCTAGAGCACAGAGCAATGTGATTCCCATCTGAAAAGCACTTGGAGCTCATAAGAGGGGGAAAAAAAATTTACCATGAAAGTCCAAGGAATTATTTTAACAGCCAATTTGTCTAATGCATAGTAACTATCGTGATTATTCCTCTTTATATAATTATTACCCTTGATAAAGATTTTCTCCTGGGCCAAACTCTAGACAGACTCCTCTTAGCCCTTTTCTTGACTACACCTCAACCCTGGCCAGTTAAGTCTTGAACTAAACACTACCATAGTTTTTTTTCTTTATTAACATATTATGTATTATTTGTTTCAGGGGTACAGGTCTGTGATTCATCAGTCTTACATAATTCACCATAGCACATACCCTCCCCAATGTCCAGCACCCAGCCACCCCATCCTTCCCACCCCCTCCACTCCAGCAACCCTCAGTTTGTTAGTTTCTAACAGCTCAAAGCTACATTCCTAAGATGACCCTAAATCCTCTTAAAGTGATTGCCTGAGAAAACTCAAGGCTGCCAGAACAATTTACTATTTGTCCCAGCCAACACCTGAATATAGGGCCCCTGCCTCCAGCATCTGTGGGAGAGTAGAAATCTAACCTGAATAAAGGCCAGTTAGCATACTCAGGTGGGCAAAACCCACTTCCTTATTTTTGTAATTTTTCATTTCCTTGACTCTACTGAGCCCCTACTTACTACGCTCCCTATTCCCTTATACTCCCTTTAAAATGCTCAGTCACCTCTGTACAAATTGGTGATGAGTTCACATTCAACTCTTCCCTGTTACAAAAGTATATTACTGATTAAAATCTGTCCTTACCACTTTAACCAGGGTCTAGCTTTGTTCATCTATGACACCCTTTTGTTTCTATAATTATTACCTTTTTGTTTTTCTTAAATAAATACCATCTGGTACAATGCAAATGCCTACTGAAGCATAGTTTCCACCCAAAGAGATACAGATGGCCCTGACCTAACATCACCCATCGTAGGCTGATGTAGTGCAACAAATGTCTTTTTCTTCTTCTAAGTGTACTGGTTAGGAATGTGGCTTCTGGAGACAGACCACGTCCAAATCCTAGTTCTGTGTGAGTCTGAATACTTTTACTTCACCTTACAGTCACTCAGTTGTCTCATGTATAAAATTGGGATTATGCAGTACTGTAGAAGACACATTTTTAAATAAATATTGCTTTGTGTTTGGTCTTTACAAGGATAAATAGTCCAGAATCCTATTATTCAAAAAATTCTACTGCAAAGACGTCAGGATACCTGGATCTCTATGATCTTAGGAGACTGAAAGAACCTGTGCTTCAGTTTCCTCTTCTATAAAATGGAGAACACAATCACCCCTACGTCATGGGTTGTTCTGTGAATTGAGTTAATACACAAAAGTACTTAGAACACTGCCAGGTACACAATAAGAGCTCAAAAATGTTAGCTACTTTAAACAAATACAATATGAGATTTGTATAGTTTTATAGTTTGTATGTGTGTTTAATAAAGCATAATAGTTTTTACCACTGAATCCTACTCATCAAATGCTGCATCTTGTAAATCACTTTCACCATAACCACTGTTGGATACCTAACTAATTATCATGAGAACATCTCAAAAGTGCTTGGAACAACTAATGTCAGGAAATAGCACCACCATTTCTGCACTTGGCTGAACAAAAAGCCAAGGGCTCATCCTTGATTCTGCCTTATCATCACATACCCCCACCCACAGTCACTGCAGGTCCCACCTGTCCTGTTGCCAACATGTCCTGTCCAAGACCACCCCTGTCCTTTGCACACTGTGGCAGCACTGGGCCAATCCACCCTCATCCCTCTCCTAGACTACTGCAAGATTCTCCTAATGGTTATCCCCACAGCCATCTTGTCACTGTCTAGTCCATTCTCATCACAGCAGCCCGAGTCACCTTGTGAGCACATGAATCAGATCATGTAACTCCCATACTGTAACCCTCCACCGTTAGAATGACTCTAATTTCCTTACATGGCCCAAGTGATGTGGCTCCTGTCTGCCCTTTGACCTCATCTCTGACCATCAGCACTTTGTCTGCCAAGCTCTTGCCACTCAAGCTCATCATCTGCTCCTGGAACAACTTGTGGCATGCACATCACAAACAAAAGGGCCAGCCCAGGCCTGGTTTCCTTTTGCTGTTTAGGACTCAACTCATGTCACTTCCTGAGAAAGAACTTCACGGATAACCCATCCATAATAATCCCTGTCCCCATCATTTCCTATTAAATGGATTCATTTATTTTCTTTAAAGCACTCATTCCCATATGAAATTGTCCTGCTTATTGATTTGTTTACCTGTTTATTGCCAGGGACCCTGCCTATCTTGTTCTGTGCTGTGTCCTAGTGACTAGTTCCGTGTTTCATATGTAAATCTCTGAATAAATATTACTTACATGAAGGAATTGTTACCTATTTGACACACAGAAGCAGACACAGATATTTAAAGCTGAGTTTCAGAAGAAGCTGACAAGGAAGTTAGACATCAAAGGATTAAAAATTATAAGAAGAGTTTGCTGCAAATTCACAGCAGGACTTTTTAAACTTAGATGAGTACCAGAAACAACTGGAGATATTATTCAAAATGTAAACCCCTCCCATTCTACCTTCCTGTTTTTGATGAACTCTGAGGACTACAGTTGGAGAAATCCTGACCTAAGCATCTGACATTTGTGTACCATTAATCTCATGACTACCAGAGTTCAATGGTATCTGGGATGTCTCTGTTAATATAATTACTCAAAAGTACACTGGTCCTTCCCTCCCACCTATGACCACAGATTGCTTCCCCCCATGGGATCACACTTACAACATGCAATATTCCCAGGTGACTGGGAGAATTGGGTATTGTTATCTTGTTGTATAGAAGACATTGAAAGAAGGGTAGTAACTTACCTAAATGGTCCCAATGATAGGATCTTAATCTCTTCACTCTTGTTCTAGGACCCAGTCTAGCACACTCAACATCACACTTTGTTCTTCTCTATTGGCTCCTATTTCAGGGGCTCAGAGTCCACAGCCTTGTCTGCTGCTCCATTAGCCAGGAGAGTGAGGGGATCAGACAGCACATGGAATAAAGAATAAAGTGAGAGAAAGGGAGAGCACATGAAACACAGGGGCAATGGGTGAGCATGTGCTTGTCTGTCCCCACTCAGGTCACTGGAAGCTGTCCAGTGATGCTGTGCCTCTTCCCCAGCTCCACCCCACAGCCTCCTCCCGTACACAGCAGTGACAATGAAGCTCTCACATCATGGAAATGTGTGCTCATCCCTGCTTGCTGCTCCATGTCCAAGTATTGTCTCCGGTACTCATGCTATGATGTTCATGTCAGAAACACTGCCTTGACAGAATGAAGGAGGCAAAATTGGAATGGAGAAATAGCATTCACTGAGGACCTACTAGACGCCACATGCTGTAGGTTGTTATTTTCTCTTCAGTTCCTCAAAGTGATGCTGAGTTGGGCATCATAATTTTCTTTCTACAGATTAAAAGATAGCCTCAGGGAACAAAGTAAATGTTGAAAGAATTCTAGGGGCTCCTGGGTGGCTCAGTCAGTTAAGTGTCTGCCTTTGGCTCAAGTCATGATCGAGTCCCACATCAGGCTCCCTGCTCAGCAGAGAGTCTGCTTCTCCCTCTGCCTGCCGCTCCCCCTGCTTGTACTCACTTTCTCTCTCCCTCTCTCTGTCAAATAAATAAATAAAATCTTTAAAAAAAAAAAGAAAGAAAAAATTCTAAGAAAGTGTCGAAGAGACACAAGTCAACTTGAAGGGGCTTCCATTGGCCAATTCTGAGACATTTGAGCATAAAAAAAATAATTATAGCATCAGATGGTAACTCTTTTTGCAAAATAGGAATCTATGAGTCATACTGATATAAATTTTAAAAAAAACAAATAAACAGGGAGAAGAGAAAGCCCTACCTCCAGCCAAATTTCAATTAATAAACCTGGAGGGAATGAGGAAATAAGAAAAGCAACACTTGACAACCATGATCCTAGTAAGGGATTCAGGCTAGAATTACAAAACAATGCTCAATCTCCACCAGATACCACAGCAGTCACTGAGTCGCCATGGTAACCAGGCTGGCCAAATGAAGGTGGAAAAAAACAACCACTGTGATTTGCTTCCTATTATGTGTTAGGAAGTGAACACGACTGACATGACCACAGTAAAGTAATTAACCTCAAGTATTCCTCACAATAAAGATTCCTGGCAGCTTCCACAATATACACATACATACAAACATACATACTTATATATGTACATGGTCTCTCCTTCCTCTGTCTCACCACTCAAGAACGCAGAATTCATCAATTCTAAGGAAAAAAAGGAAAACCCCACTATTCAACTGGTTCAATTCTAACCACACATATAAAGTTGAAAGCTACTATAACTATTTTCTTTTAGTGACTGATTTTTCTGGAGATGACCTGTAGAATTTTCTCTGTGACATTTTTCTCCCTAGTTTCAGTACATTGCCAATAATGTTAAAAAGCTGACATAGAAACACAGTCAAATGCTTGTTATCCATCAGGTAGCTTTTTCATCTTAGAGTAGTCTGTGCTTTCAACAAAAAACATCTGGCAACAGCTATTATTAAACATTTGGCTGCTGACAGTTTGGTGAAAATATAATACTTGGGAATTATATTTACAAAACAATGCCTTTTACAATAACATCAAAAAGTATGAAATACTTACAGATCATCTGTCCACAGATGTGCAAAGCCTGTTCACTAAACACTTCAAAACATTGCTCAGAAAAATTAAAGAAGACCTAAATAAATGGAGAGACAAGTGTCTTTGTGGGTTGGAAGATTCAGTATTATTTCAGTGTCACTTCTCCCTAAATATAGATCCACATATTCAATGCAATCCAATAAAAATCCTAGCAAATATTTTTAAAGAAATTGGCAGGCCAATTCTGAAGTTTATATGGAAACGCAGAGGATCTAGACCATGAAAAACAACTCCGAAAAAGAATCAAATTGGAGGATGAACACTTACGGATTTTAAGACTCAGAAACCTACCGTAATCAAGACAGTGTGGTATTGGAATCAAGGTAGACAAGTAGATTGAAAAGAATAGAGTCCAGAAATAGACCCACACACATATGGACAACTGATTTTTGGAAAAGGGGCAAAAGCAATTCAGTGGAGAAATGGGAGTCTTATCAACAAATGGTGCTGAAACAAGTGGATATCATATACACAAATATCAATTGTGACCCATATATCACACTACATATAAAAGTCCACTCAAAATGGATCACAGACCTAAATATATATCCTAAAGTTGTCAGTCTTCTAGAAGAAACATAGGAAAGAGTCCTTGTGATCTTGAGTTAGGTGAAGGTTTCATAGAAGAGATACCAAAACTACAATCTATAAGTGAACTAATACATAAATTGGACTTCCTCCAAGTTAAAAAATGCTCTTCTTAAGACACTGTGAAGAGAATGAAAAAAATGAGGCCCTAAGTGGGAGAAAATACTTGCAAATTACATATCTGACAAAGTACCTGTATCTAGAATATAAAAAATCTATATAGAAAGTCAATTAGAAAAAAAATACACTACAATAAATAGAGAATAGACACTTCACCAAACATGTAGACACTTCACCAAATGAATAAACACCTCACCAAACATATAGAAATAGCAAATAAGCACATAAAAATATGCTCAACATCATAAGGGAATTGTAAATTAAAACTATAATTTGATACCACTACATCCCCATGAGAACGGCTATAATTAAAAAGATTGACCATACCAAGCATTGGCAGGGTTGTGGAGGATGTAATTCACATACAATGCTGGTGGCAAAGAAAAAATGGTACAACCAGTTTGGTAGTTTCTTAACAATGTTAATCTTAAATCTACCATGTGACCCAGCCATTGCACTCTTAAGTATTTACCCTGGGGGAAATACTAGAGAAAGAAAGCTCATATCCATGTAAAAATGTATACAAAATGTTCATAGGAGCTTTAATTTTTTTTAAAGCAACGAATTTCAAGCAAGTTGTAGTATATCTGTATAATAGGATTCTACTCATCAATTAAAAAAGAATGAACTATTTATATATACAAAAAAAATGGGTAAATCTAAACAAATAGGCTCAATGAAAGAAGCCAGGCCAAAACCAAAAGCCAAAAAAAAACCTTTATGCTTCCATTTAAATAAAATTCTAGGACATGAAAACTAATCTATAGTAAGAGAAGATCAGTGCTTGTTGGGTATACATAGTGGGGCGGGTGGGGGGGCGTGGAGGCCAAGTAATAAGGAACTGAAACTGTTATATACCAGGAAAGTAAACATAACCATATTTAAGAATACTTGGTTATTATAGCAGATATGGCTGGATATAATAAATACATAATAATAAAACACTCTGAAGTATTTAAAAAATATATAAATTCTTATAACTGACATGCTTAACTAATATTTGGAAAATTTCTGGCTTCTTAAGTATTTCATTATAAAATGAATAAAAATGTAGCAGCCAGGGAACTATATTACATTCTCAATCTATATTACATTCTCAAATCGCTAGGAAGACTTTCTAATCAAATGCATTTTTCAACACCCATCTGAGAGAAACATGAGAATCACTGAATATTTACCCAGGGAGAACAACTTAGGTATATTTACTCCAAATGCATGTTAAAGATCACATTCCTTCCTCAAGCTGGACAATTCAGTGCTTTCAGACAAAAGACTTCTCCAAGATGGGCCTCAAGGGCTACTACAAACCATGTGGCTGCTGAAGAAATGACATTCCACGTGCTAAACCTCTTCTCTCATGATCAGATCAAAGTAGCTTCTCTACTTCTAGGCTAGTTTGTGAACCTCACAGGAGCTATTATTCCACAACATGCTTTTGTTCAGATCTATGCACTCACTTGATCCAGGCGTCATATTGCACCAGGAATGTGAAGTGTTGGGGTCTCCTGAGGACTGCTGCCCTTGAATCTGGAGTAGAAGCTTCAGCAGCCATCAGGACTCAAGTCCTCAGAACCTGCCTCCTTCAGGCACCTGATTGGAGCTGGGCCACTGGTAAGAAGAGCTGCACAGGAAGAGACAGATCCAACTATCACTATGCTTTACTGGTGTAACTACGTGCCCCCGTACCATGCTAGGCACTAGGTTACTGACAATGACACTGATACAACTGGGTGGTTGTCATAACAACCACATGTTTTAATGGGCTTCTCACGAGGGCCCTTTTCTCCTCCTTTGCTTGTCTATCTCCTAACAATAAAATTGAAAAGGAGTGAGAAATGGCCTGAATTCATACAGGCATTCATGACCCCCCAGTAACCACAGGGCTCTGGGCTTGCTCAGTTGTATCGCTGAAGGTTCTCAGCGATCCTGTGGATGAAGTATTCTCATCTCCATTGTACAGACTGGGAAGCTGGGGCACAGAATCATTTTACCTGTCTTCCCTCCCTAGCCCCTGCCTTTTGAGGAAAGCAGCTCCAGGACACCCCTGGAGCAATACCCACATTCACTGGAGCTGGGCAGGACCCCAGGGGCTTTACCTATGAGACAGCCGGGGCAACGAGCCCCAAAGCGGAAAAGAGTTGGACCTGGATTCCTTTGTCTCCTCACACTCCCGGGCGGTTCAGCCCCCACGGCGAGGACCCCACACCCTCAGCTGGGTCCCAAACATCTGAGGGCGGTACCTGCTCTCATTGCGAGGGCAAGTCTGTCTCCATGAAAAACTCGTCACGGTCGCCGCATGACGTCAGGTTTCTATGGCAACTGCAAAGCGCAGGCTTCTCCTCCACTCCGGAAATGCCACCGCAAGACTCACCCACCCCCGGGAATCTCGCTGAACGTAAAACACCTTCGCTCTTCGGGCCACCACAGGACAAAGCATAGGAATTAGAGGCTCTAGACTGAAATAGGCAGTTGTCGGAACTCTGCCCAAGTTGGTGGAACAAAGAATGTCCCTGTCGTGAGGAATTTTGTTTGCTTTTTTTTTTTTTCTTTTGAGTTGTTGAGACTTTATTTAGCAGGGTTTTTTTTTAATTATTATTTTTTTTATTATTATGTTCAATTAGCCAGCATATAGTACATCATTTGTTTTTGATGTAGAGTTTGCTTTAAAGACACAGTAGGGGAGTAGTATCAGCGCACACACCCTAGGGAGGTATCTTGGGGTTCTTGGAGATGAGCTAGCCCTGGGAGGGTGAACATGTAAAGTTACTCGCCATGCTAAGCAGTTAACCATCTGTGGCAGAAAACTAAAAGATTGTCTATAATCATGTGACTGAATGACCAGATACATACACAAAAGGTGTAATTTAAGCAATTTGGAAATTATTTCAAGGAAGCCAGCTTAGAATATTATAGTAATTTAGCAGGCAGACTTAGTCAATTGAACAATACATTGGTTTGTACTGGAGAATTCTGATCATTCATTCCTGATAACTTCTTTCATATGGAGGGGCATCCATACATAACCAAAATACTTCTAGCCTCTCTATATACCAGCTCTTCCCCCTTCAAACCCCTGGTGGTAAGTTGCCCTTATGGAGCAAAGTTCTGCTCTACCCTCAGGGGTGGGTCTCACAGTTGACCCCCTGCTCTTCTCCCCTTTCTGTGTCTTGCTGGCTCTCAGACGTTCCTATGATCTTGCTCCAAAATGCTTGGGCTTTTAGGGTCCCATCCACCATACATCCCTGCTCCATATCTGAACTCTAAACCAACTAAAAATATGAAAAAAGAATAAGGAGAACAATATATCAACTTTCTTATAAAAGTTATATTAGAGAAAGGGCTTAGAATCTGCAGGCAAAGCATTTCCTATTAATAAACCCCAGAGTTGGACAGATTTAGCCATCCCACAGTGTTGCATTGAGATAGTCACAAAGGCCAAGGTCTGCAATGAGTATCTGGTGAAAGAGCCATGTCCAAGTTTATCCAAGAAAGAAGTTTCTTTGCAAAGCCATCCTTGTAGCCAGAGAAAGTGTTTCAGGACACCTTCTTTGAGGAATACTTCTCCAAGTGTATAAATATTGCTGGTTCTGTTTTATTTTTTATTTAAATTTTAGTTAACATACAGTGCAATATTGGTTTCTGGAGTAGAATTCAGTGATTCATCACTTACATACCCAGTGCTCATCATATCAAGTGCTCTCTTTAACACCCATCACCCATCTAGCACATCCCCCACTCACTTCCCTCCATCAACCCTCAGTTTGTTCTCTACTGTTAAGAGTCTCTTATAGCTTGTTCCCCTCTCTCCTTTTTTTCTTTTCCTCCTTACCATGTATTCATCTGTTTTCTTTCTTAAATTCCACATATGAGTGAGATCATATGGTATTTGTCTTTCTCTGACTTATTTCACTTAGAATAATCCACTCTAGCTCCATTCACATCATTGCAAATGTGAATTCTTTTTGATGGCTGAGTAATATTCATGTATATATATAATATATACACATATATAATGTATATAATATACATATATACATATATAATGTATATATGAAGTATATAATTCATGTATATTTTTTCTCTATATACATATATATGTGTGTATATATATATGTATATATACATACACACACTACTTCTTCTTTATCCATTCATCAGTCAATGGACATTTGGGCTCTTTCCATAGTTGGACTATTGTTGATAATGCTGCTATGAACATTGGGGTGCACGTACCCCTTGGAATCTGTATCCTTTCAGTAAATACCTAGTAGTACAATTTCTAGATCGTAGGGTAGTTCTATTTTTAACTTTTTAAAAAATTTTTTATTTAAATTCAATTAGCCAACATATTATTTCAGATGTAGTGTTGAATAATTTATCAGTTGCATATAACTCTTTTTAAGATTTTATTTTTATTTATTTGGGAGAGAGCAAGAGCAAGAGATATCACAGAGGGAGAGGGAGAAACAGACTCCCCGCTGAGCAGAGAGCCCGACGTGGGGCTCGATCCCAGGACCCCAAGATCATGACCTGAACTGAAGGCCGATGCTTAACCAACTGAGTCACCCAGGTACCCCTATTTTTAACTTTTTGAGGAATCTCTATACTGTTTTCCAGAGTGGCTGCACTAGTTTGTAGCCCCCCCCACCAGTGTAAGAGGGTTCCCCTCTCTCTGCATCCTCACCAACATCTGTTGTTTCTTGTGTTGTTAATTTTAGACATTCTGGCACGTGTGAGGTGGTATCTCATCATGGTTTTGATTTGTATTTCCCTGATGATAAGTGATGTTGAGCATCTTTTCATGTGTCTATTAGTCATCTGGATGTCTTCTTTGGAAAATTGTCCATTCGTGTCTTCTGCCCATTTCTTAACTGGGTTATTTGTTTTTTGGGTGTTGAGTTTGGTAAGTTCTTTATGGATTTTGTATGCTAACCCTTTATTAGATATGTTGTTTGCAAATATCTTCTCCCCTTCTGTTGGTTGCCTTTTAGTTTTGTTGATTGCTTCATTCACTGTGCAGAAGCTTTTTATCTTGATGAAGTCCCAATAGTTCATTTTTGCTTTTGTTTCCCTTGCTTTTGGTGACATGTCTAGTAAGAAGTTGCTATGGCCAAGGTCAAAGAGGTTTCTGCCTGTGTTCTCCTCTAGGATTTTGATGGTTTCCTGCCTCACATTTAGGTCTTTTATCCATTTTGAATTTATTTTTGTGTATGGTGTAAGAAAGTGGCCCAGTTTCATTCTTCTGCATGTTGCTGTCCAGTTTACCCAACACCATTTGTTGAAGAGACTGTTTTTTTTCCATTGGATATTCTTTCCTGCTTTGTTGAAGACTAGTTGACCATGTAGTTGTGGGTCCATTTATGGGTTCTTTATTCTGTTCCATTGATCCATGTGTCTGTTTTTGTGCCAGTACCATACTGTCTTGATGACTACAGCTTTGTAATATAGCTTGAAATCTGGAATCATGATGCCTCCAGTTTTTTTTTTCTTTTTTCAGAATTGCTTTGGCTATTTGGGGTCTTTTGTGGTTCCATACAAATTTTAGGATTGTTTGTTCTAGCTCTGTGCCTTGTTCTGTTTTAATACTCACCAGGGAATCTTCTGAGAATATGGCTTTCCATGTTGCTCATTGAAGTTTTTAGCAACAGCATCTTAGTCATTTGCCAGGCATTATTGACAAGGAGGCTCATCTTATAGAGGGGGATTGGAATTAGATTCTAAATCCCAAGAGTAAGATGAAAATCATATATTGTGAAAATTTCCCATAGAGTTTTCTACAAAAAGGAATTGAGGAAATGCTAAAAAAAAAAAAAGTCTGTACCTGCACATCAGCCTACATGCAGACAATAGCTAAAATTTTAACAGAATCCTACTAAGCCTTCAAGGATAAGAGAATCCCTATCTCATCCAATGTTAACAAACTGAAAAAGAGGGAGAGTTCAACAAAACCACATGTTTTGTACATCCGTTTCTGTTTAACAGATCACCCCCAAAACAGTAGCCATTTTTTCTCTCAGGATTCTGTGTGTTGACTGTGCTCAGCTGGGTATTTTTCTGCTCTATTTGGTGTCTGTCACCAGGGGCTGCAGTCATCTGGAAGCTCCACTCAGCTGGGACATCCAAGAGAGCTCACTCAACATGGATGACAAGCCATGCTGGGATAGGGGCTCGGCTGGGGCTGTTGACTGGAGCATCTTTGTTCTACCCCACATAGCCTTCCATATGTAGGGTTGCCAAATTAAATTTAACTCAGATAAATTTAAATTTCAGATAAACAATAAAAACGTTCTGGTGTAAATATGTCTCATGCAATATTATTTTGTTTGTCTGAAATTCAAATTCATCTAGGCATCCTATTTTAAGTATGTCTACTTACTTAATCTGACAACTCTAGGGGACAAGCCCGTGAATCTGTAATTTTAAAGACCATCTGATAAGACTCTTCCAATAGGGAAAGTCTGGGGAACACAAATTGATTGAAAATAAAGACATAAGTTCATAATACCTGGTGTTGGTGGAATGAAAGGGCAACAGACACTCACATACACAGTTGGTGCTAAATGGGTTTATGTTTTCTGAGGCCTATATTGTTATAACTTAATAATTTGAATGACCTTTGATAGAGGCCCTATTTCCACCAACAAGGAAGTTTCAGGTGAGGGTTTAGGAAAGGATCCCAAAGTTGATTCTGACCTGCATTCGGGTTAATGGATCCTGCCTAAGGGAGCAATTCAAGGAGCCACATGAGTTTCCTGCTCTGGGGAGGAAGAACAGTTATTATTTATGAACCAGATGGTGGAGCTGGGCCCAGGTCCTTTCTTCACTTAGTGGCTGGATTTAATCCTCATGACAGTCCTGGTAGTGAGGTATCGCTATTCTATCTTCATGGATGTATGTCAGTACAAAGCATGTGCTCCTGAACACAGACACAGACAGCAAAGAGGTTGCTCCCCATACCCACTGCCAGAGCCAGGGATGGAACCAGGCATCCTGGGCACCTTTAGTTGCTGGTTGCAGAGCTCTAGAAAGGTATCAGGACACATACTGCTGAGGTGAGTAATCTCTGTTCTGCTTTTTTTTACCCTCCCTGCAGTAGAAAGCCAGGCTTGGTGCCTCTTTCCCTTACCTCAGGGGAGGTTTGTGCCAGAGTGGGAAGTAGAAGGTATCTGAAGCCTGTGTTTCTTCCATACTTGTGAAAACTTAAGTTTGCGGAAAGGATTGGGCTTCTTATGCCTGGTAGGGAGACAAGGGTCTCTGAGGACCCAA